CATAAAGAAAAGTCTTTAAGAATGATGTTTAAAGAATTAAAAAGAAAGATTTAAAATTTAGATGAAAATTCATAAGTTTGTTACTAATGAAAAAAATATTAGAACACTGTAGAAAATTAAAACAATAGAGTTGTAGAAGTTTTTTTTGTGGAAGGGGAAAAATGCATTGAGGCACACCGCAGGGACAGCGGTAGTGTCGGACTCAGTGGATTTTTTTTATTACACCACTACAGCCCACTAAAACCTCCCTTCCCATGTTGCGTGGCCTTAGTTCCATCCTGGAATTGCGTTAGCATTACACTGGGTGGAGCCACCAGTGGACTAATTGCATCTCACAGCATTAGCGAGACAGCTCGTCACCATTTGCTAGAAATGCCAATCCTCTCGAGTCCTTAAAAGTTAGCGCAGTGTGGGTCCACATAAGCTCACACTGCTCCAAAAAAAAATTCAGCCACTTTATATTTGCACCGCTTGAACCCTTCTCCTGGCTTCTCGTAGCGTTTGTTGAAAGGTTAGGCAGCTTTCACTGCTGACGTTGTGTTTCGTATCCCTTGTCTTGCAAAGGAGACACTGTGCTGTATTACTGTAGTCTTTTTTGCGGTGGTTGCAGCTTCCACATTTGAAGCATAGCTTCAATCGGTCTTCTTACTTGCAGTCATGGGATAAGTGACCATACCCTATACATTTGAAACACCTTGTTACAACTATCCTTTTCTTAACATGGCAGAAGATGAAGCCAATTTTTACCCGGCCTGCATGCTCGACTTCCTTGGTGACTATTTCGTAAAGGATCACGAGCGCTATTCTTTATCCCTTAGCGTTTGCTTTGAAAAGCTGAATCTCTAAGTCTTGGGTTCTGCTTTCGATAACCTTTTTAAAAGACTGCCTTATTTTTGCTTCTTCAACGATACTGCCAAATTGCAGACTTCAAGCGTCGTTTTTTTTTGCAGTGGTTATCACCTTTCTTTGGCCTGCCACTGCTCTTCTTTTTTCGAAAAACTTACAATATTTTTCACTTCTTTGGCTTTTAAAAGCAAATCTCCTTTCTTAGTGGCTACGACGTTTTTCACAATAGCTCCCGTTTCGTCTGGGTTAAAACTTGCTTTCGAGGACTTAAGTGCTCCAGCAAAGGTTTGTCCCTCAGCTACTTTCACCAGTACCTTTGTCGTCGTTTTTTGAGCTTTTTGGCTCCCTCTCTCTTACTGTTCTGAACACCCCCTTCCGGTTTTTCCTAACTGAACCTCTTTTTTTTAGTTATTGCTGTAGTTTGTTTTATTTTGAGGCTTTCTGAAGGCCTTACAATTATTTTAGTTCGTTCTATTTCCTTGAGACCGGTATTTAGGGTTTTCCTCTAGACGTGCCATCAAAAATAGTTCCTTCTTTGCTCCCTATACTGCAAGGATTTGAAGCACTGTGACCAAGATCTGTAGTGCATTTCTTCATTAAAAAAAACGCCCTTTCTAATGACTTCTGCCAATTCTAGGTGCTTAAGAGCAGCTCTAAGGCCATCCTTCATAACCTTTGTCGTGTTACCATACTAATTGTTTATTGATTCGAGTGCCTTCTCTATCTCTTTTGTTGCTGATTCGACTTGCTGAATCTCTTGATTTTGTTTTAGCTTTAGCTCAGCACCATCTGTTTTCACAGAGGCAAGCTTATTTTCTGTCTAGTTGCTGAATACACTGCAATCACTTTCCTGGCTAGTGTTGCTACCCAAGCCTCAAAGGCTGGGTATCCTTCCTTTATCTAACGATGCACATCTAAGTTTTAACAAAATCTGCTGGCCAGCTTAAATGTCTTCGTATCCCTCCTCCCCAGAATTCATGGGGCCTGTAACAGTCATCCGAGCTTTTACAGAATCAGAGCTGCTGGCGGATTTTCTCTGAGAAGTTACGGGGTACTTGTTTTTCATTGACGTTCTTCATTTTAGCATCCGTTTTTTATGATGTAATGGCCCCTTTTTTTCGTAGAATAAAGATTTGGACAGGGTAAAAATCAAGGTAGCAGCCCTCTCTGTGTCCAGAGAAGAATGCAACTTGCTCGGGCTGGCCGGGAGTTGCCACTCTCATTCAGTTCCACTCGCGCAGACTGCTCTGGCGTTGTAAAGAAAGTGTGAGAGTACTGATTGTGTCAAAAAAATATTTATGTAGGCAAAACGACAAGTGCCCTAACGCAACAAGCAACTGGTATACAATCCCACGATTGGAGCAAAGAACCCCTCAAAAAGGGCTGCAGTTAACAATGCACTACAAGTACTACCATGTAGCCTCCTCAGTGGTAGTAAGCATAGATTAGTCAGCCCACCACGTCTTTTTGTTAACGAGGCTTGCAGCAGCAGCAGCAGCAACTGTAGCAGTAGCAGTCGTAGTAGTTGCAGTAAAACTGTAAAAATCGAAAGCTTCAACTACCATCGCAAGACTCCACATGCAATCTCTAAACAATCTTATGAAGTGATTATCTTACAACAATAATTCGCATTAGTACGTCTAAGACTGTGAATAATCAACATTCTCAACATTCCTTACTGCTTGTATCCACGAGGAATATCATACACAATTTTGACAGCATTTTATACTCAATGTAAGATCTGATGAATCAGCAGTTTCAATCATCAATTATTGTGTACTTGTTGCACCACAACTTTGCTTGCGTAAATCGGGAGTTATTAGGTTAAGCTCTGATTGGTCATTTGGACCCCCAATCTGACGTGTCTTCCTTAAATCCAATGAACTCTCGTGTAGGATTATGATTATCGTTACTCTTAACCTTGTAAGATTTTGCGATTGCGTGGGTGCAAGCAGCGGTCTACAAATGATAATAGAAGTAAGTTAGGATAAAAAAACTATAAATAGTTAAAACACTGTAAATATGAACGTAAGACTTTACAATTTATATTATTTGCAAAAACTGATTATTTCTGACGTTATCAATATTATTAAATTATCAGATAGGGCATAACGTGGTTGTTAATTTTTTTTCTTTTTTTCGGTTACCGTGACAGCTTATTGGCGTAGTCGTCGGGGCTACCCACTCACCACGTACGTGTGGGGATGTATGGCTGCACTCATTTACCAATCCCTTAATTGATATCGCACGTATGTCATACCATGGGCACAGTAATATCTTCGCTAAAACACCCTGCCAGTTAAGCTGACACTCTATGCACCAATGGTGCACTAGATCCACTTGCTACTGTATAGCCTTTCCCCGCAGAAGACTCCGTATTTAAGGACGTCTACTCCTCGCTGGTTAAGCCGGCTTTTTTTGCCGAAGCATCGGTTCCTGGCTAATTAGCATCCCCAGAAAAGCCCCATGTTTCAGGGACCACTCTTCGGTTGCTAAGGCCGGCGATCCCTGCCGGACGTCTGGCATCAAATACGCTATACATATATATATGTATATATATAGTCCTACCACTGTTTCGCATTTTCCCCAAGCCTGAAAACCTGTAGGGCAAGAAAAAAAACCTTGGAATTACTCTGAAGGAAAATTCCACAGAAAAATTCGCCCTGAAGCAGCCAAAGCATCTGCCAAGAAAGGGTTGCATAGGAAGTTTTTGTGGTGATAGCAGTTTTTGAAAAAACCGCACTCATCGGGAGTTGAACCTACGACCCCTTGGACGACATTGTATCAGCAACAAGCATGCTCACTACTAAGTTAACGCCGCTCCCTAACTTGGTTGTTGATTAAATTCATTTTCCTATTTGAAATATTTTAAGATTCAGTGTTCCAGTTGATAGAAACATAATTTTAGCTTTAATGAGTAAACTAATACCAAGCAAAAATAAGCAGATAACGTATGACAAAGACCTTATAAGAGCATAAGATAAAGAGAAGTATAAAATACGCTACTACTGCATTACATTAAATAGAAATTTAATCAGAAGGTCAATGTTAGCCCAGCGTAAGAAATATTAACACCACTTCATACGTACCATTTGCTGAAACTTAATACGACAACGCCGAGTCAACGGTTTAAGTATACTGTAAGTAAGAGCAAAAAAGACTTAAGAGCCGACGGTTAATGGCTGACGAGCTTTTGCTTTGTGTACAGGGCCAATGCCTATGTTGGATGTATGCATCAAAGAGCTCTACAACAAGAGCTATATCATAGGAAATGTTAAGTACTTTCGTATGTCATTTTCCTGCCTTATCCTCAACGACTCTTTATTCTTAATTTCTACATAGTTGTGTATATAGTTTTTTACATTTTTTATCAAAAATTTAGTAAGCAAAGTTTTATATCATTTTCGTATTTTTTCCTTATTGGCTTATTCATACGAATTATACGAATAAATTATTTGGCATTCACTGTCATGTCTTCTTTGGCTATTCGCTTTAAGCGCAGTTCCGAAATCGCGCCCCCACTGGGCACTTTGAGAACGATTGGTTATCATTAAAAAAGGTAATTGTTATGAAATCGAGCTTTTAGCTCCATTCACCAGGTGGCCAACCCCTAAATGTCGCTTGCCTATAAGCATATGAAAATCAATTCATAATACTGTTCTTTTACGACCAATCATTCTCAAAGTGCCCAGTGGGGGCGCGATTTCGGAATTGCGCTCAAAGCGAACAGTCAAAATTCATCTAGACCGAACAAAAGCGATGCTCGTATTATAGACTTCTGATTTTTTCAGGGTGTTTGATTTGCTTTGATTCTCTTACCTCCCATAATTTGAGGTACTTTATTGACATGAGTCCTGTCGTCTTCTACGAGTCATAGTGCTTGATAATTGTTAGTTCGCTTGTTGCTTACGATTCAAGGTGTCTAATTTACGTAGTTACCCTAGCCTTTAACAATTTGGGGTGCTTGTTTCATTTAAATATTCTTACCTTTATTTATTCAAGAAGTTTTTAATTTTTATGTAAGGCAAGTTCTTACGAAGTGCATAAATAATTGCTGAAATGTAAGTCCCAAGGTGTACAAATAAAATATGAGCTTAAGTTTAAGTATTAATAAATTTAAAAAAATTGTCTTAATTATGACTATTTTTTTTCAGTCAAGCCTACTGCAACATTATTGCTGGTGCATGCATGGCATTGGGATTAAAGTATGCAGGCTCAGAAAATATTATGGCATTTAAAACACTATTTCATTTTCTGAAAATGTTTATGACACTAGCTCATAAGTCAATAGCTGAATTAGCAGGAAAAACTACGATAGAAACATGCCTCAATGTCGTTCTTTTGTCAGCATCAATTGTGATGGCTGGAACTGGAAATTTAGAGGTATGATAAATTACTATTGTATAATTTAAGTTAAAATTACGAAAATCATAAGAACTTACTGTATTTCTACTCTCAATAAGCTTATTATCCAAATAGAACATTTTTAGTGACAGGTCAATACAGATTAGTGTGTTACGACAGCTAACTTCGATTCGATAAAAAATTATTTTTTGAAAGAATTTTTCTACTTTTATAGTTAATTAAAACGAAACAATAAGCACAAGACTTTTCTTAAATTTTTTCTATCGACTCTTTTTTAAACATGTATTTAGTATATAAAATAAATTCTAATTTATAATGAATCAAACATCTCTCCTTCACCTGTTGCTATGCCAGGGTTCAATAACCAAACTAACCACGGTTTGATCCCAAATTCTAAGGGAAAAATAATCTCATTTTTTCTCCTGTATCAGTAGGTTTTTTTTTTTCTAATATTGGCAGATTTTTAGTTAAAATTTTTTTTTGTTACGAGTTGATTAGAATAAGTTTATTTAGTATAACACGATTTATTTTTATGATCTCTACGTAAAAAAATATATATATACATACTTTATTAAAGTTTTTAAAATAAACTCGTTATTAAAAAATTGTTTGTTACATTTTTAATTGTACATGTTAAATTATTGTAAGTTGTATAAGTGTTTTAACGTTACTAAATATTTTTATAAACTATTATGTATTGGCTCAAACTAAGTGAAGAGTAATCGAATAACTATTTTAAGTTTGATTGTATTTATTTAAACCATTCTGAAGATACCGTACCTGCCAATACCATCAGCATACCGATTCTACTCACTCTTCGTAGACCTCACATCAAATGTACATTATTACAGATACTCATTTGCGGTAGAATATTTCTCTCTCCTTCTTTTTAGGTTCGAAAAAAGATTTTGACAATCTGAATCATTGCCCTCTACTCGCATCAACCCTCTTTCACTGTCATAATTTTAAAAATCTTGAACTTAACACTCATAATATACTTACTATGTATTAAGGTTATTCATGTTTCATAAATATACATTTACAAACTTCAATTAACTTATGAATACTTATTTTCTTTGTATTTTTTTTTTTGGTGGAGTCATTAACTCAGACCATTTTGTGTAAGTATCTACGAAGATTAAAAATCTGTACCAAAAAAACACTCATTTAAATAATATCGTACTCTCCTGCTTACTTTTTCTAGACGAAGACATAAAGTCAATAAGAAAAAAGCTTCAAATTTATTAAAATTTCGGAAAATTAATACTGGAATGAGAAAAATTTCAACAGATAATTTTTTTTATTTTTAACGAATTGTACTATTCTCGAACTGGCAAAAACCTCCTAAAATATAAAGAGGCCAAAACAAGTTTTCCGTGTCTAGAAGAAAAACTGAGAATCGGACAAATAAAAATTAATCACAAAAAAAGTACCATTCCAAAAAAAAGAATAAGCTGCGATACGCTCAAATAAATCCAGCGGTTCATTCGCAAATCGCTAAAAATCATGAATTTTGGTCATTTAAAAAAAACATAACTTATGTTATAATTAATATAAGAAATAAAAACATTAATACAGTGTAGCATCAGTGTTTCCACATTAATTTTTTTACCCCCTTTTTCAAAACTTTCCGTGCCGATTTTGGACTACTTAACGCAGAGGCTAATGTACATCTGAAAAGGGATAAATCACCTATAAGATTGCTTGTAGCTGAGATAGTCCCACCATGCATGACTCACATACATGCATTGAGCGCCAAATTTTTTCAAACCAAACAAAGTTTTATCCAATAAAAAAAAAGTTTATGAATTAAATTTTGTTTGGAAACAAAAAAATAATGCATTAATTAAGGGAAAATATTTTTTGAACTACAAAAATAGTTTTTTATTTGTCTAAAAGATGTTTTTTTCAAACCAACAAAATTTTTCTTGTTTGAAGAAAATATTAATCTTTTGAACACCAAAGATTCGTTGAAATTGAAAAACTAATATCATTGGGAGGAAGAATTAATATTAAAGAAATATTTCTATTGCAAAAGAAAAATTGAGCAACTTAAAATTAACTTGCATTGATCCAAAAAAATGAGACATACAATGTAAAAAACATTTCTTTCAGTTATAAACNGAGAGAGAGAGAGAGAGAGAGAGAGAGAGAGAGAGAGAGAGAGAGAGAGAGAGAGAGAGAGAGAGAGAGAGAGAGAGAGAGAGAGAGAGAGAGAGAGAGAGAGAGAGAGAGAGAGAGAGAGAGAGAGAGAGAGAGAGAGAGAGAGAGAGAGAGAGAGAGAGAGAGAGAGAGAGAGAGAGAGAGAGAGAGAGAGAGAGAGAGAGAGAGAGAGAGAGAGAGAGAGAGAGAGAGAGAGAGAGAGAGAGAGAGAGAGAGAGAGAGAGAGAGAGAGAGAGAGAGAGAGAGAGAGAGAGAGAGAGAGAGAGAGAGAGAGAGAGAGAGAGAGAGAGAGAGAGAGAGAGAGAGAGAGAGAGAGAGAGAGAGAGAGAGAGAGAGAGAGAGAGAGAGAGAGAGAGAGAGAGAGAGAGAGAGAGAGAGAGAGAGAGAGAGAGAGAGAGAGAGAGAGAGAGAGAGAGAGAGAGAGAGAGAGAGAGAGAGAGAGAGAGAGAGAGAGAGAGAGAGAGAGAGAGAGAGAGAGAGAGAGAGAGAGAGAGAGAGAGAGAGAGAGAGAGAGAGAGAGAGAGAGAGAGAGAGAGAGAGAGAGAGAGAGAGAGAGAGAGAGAGAGAGAGAGAGAGAGAGAGAGAGAGAGAGAGAGAGAGAGAGAGAGAGAGAGAGAGAGAGAGAGAGAGAGAGAGAGAGAGAGAGAGAGAGAGAGAGAGAGAGAGAGAGAGAGAGAGAGAGAGAGAGAGAGAGAGAGAGAGAGAGAGAGAGAGAGAGAGAGAGAGAGAGAGAGAGAGAGAGAGAGAGAGAGAGAGAGAGAGAGAGAGAGAGAGAGAGAGAGAGAGAGAGAGAGAGAGAGAGAGAGAGAGAGAGAGAGAGAGAGAGAGAGAGAGAGAGAGAGAGAGAGAGAGAGAGAGAGAGAGAGAGAGAGAGAGAGAGAGAGAGAGAGAGAGAGAGAGAGAGAGAGAGAGAGAGAGAGAGAGAGAGAGAGAGAGAGAGAGAGAGAGAGAGAGAGAGAGAGAGAGAGAGAGAGAGAGAGAGAGAGAGAGAGAGAGAGAGAGAGAGAGAGAGAGAGAGAGAGAGAGAGAGAGAGAGAGAGAGAGAGAGAGAGAGAGAGAGAGAGAGAGAGAGAGAGAGAGAGAGAGAGAGAGAGAGAGAGAGAGAGAGAGAGAGAGAGAGAGAGAGAGAGAGAGAGAGAGAGAGAGAGAGAGAGAGAGAGAGAGAGAGAGAGAGAGAGAGAGAGAGAGAGAGAGAGAGAGAGAGAGAGAGAGAGAGAGAGAGAGAGAGAGAGAGAGAGAGAGAGAGAGAGAGAGAGAGAGAGAGAGAGAGAGAGAGAGAGAGAGAGAGAGAGAGAGAGAGAGAGAGAGAGAGAGAGAGAGAGAGAGAGAGAGAGAGAGAGAGAGAGAGAGAGAGAGAGAGAGAGAGAGAGAGAGAGAGAGAGAGAGAGAGAGAGAGAGAGAGAGAGAGAGAGAGAGAGAGAGAGAGAGAGAGAGAGAGAGAGAGAGAGAGAGAGAGAGAGAGAGAGAGAGAGAGAGAGAGAGAGAGAGAGAGAGAGAGAGAGAGAGAGAGAGAGAGAGAGAGAGAGAGAGAGAGAGAGAGAGAGAGAGAGAGAGAGAGAGAGAGAGAGAGAGAGAGAGAGAGAGAGAGAGAGAGAGAGAGAGAGAGAGAGAGAGAGAGAGAGAGAGAGAGAGAGAGAGAGAGAGAGAGAGAGAGAGAGAGAGAGAGAGAGAGAGAGAGAGAGAGAGAGAGAGAGAGAGAGAGAGAGAGAGAGAGAGAGAGAGAGAGAGAGAGAGAGAGAGAGAGAGAGAGAGAGAGAGAGAGAGAGAGAGAGAGAGAGAGAGAGAGAGAGAGAGAGAGAGAGAGAGAGAGAGAGAGAGAGAGAGAGAGAGAGAGAGAGAGAGAGAGAGAGAGAGAGAGAGAGAGAGAGAGAGAGAGAGAGAGAGAGAGAGAGAGAGAGAGAGAGAGAGAGAGAGAGAGAGAGAGAGAGAGAGAGAGAGAGAGAGAGAGAGAGAGAGAGAGAGAGAGAGAGAGAGAGAGAGAGAGAGAGAGAGAGAGAGAGAGAGAGAGAGAGAGAGAGAGAGAGAGAGAGAGAGAGAGAGAGAGAGAGAGAGAGAGAGAGAGAGAGAGAGAGAGAGAGAGAGAGAGAGAGAGAGAGAGAGAGAGAGAGAGAGAGAGAGAGAGAGAGAGAGAGAGAGAGAGAGAGAGAGAGAGAGAGAGAGAGAGAGAGAGAGAGAGAGAGAGAGAGAGAGAGAGAGAGAGAGAGAGAGAGAGAGAGAGAGAGAGAGAGAGAGAGAGAGAGAGAGAGAGAGAGAGAGAGAGAGAGAGAGAGAGAGAGAGAGAGAGAGAGAGAGAGAGAGAGAGAGAGAGAGAGAGAGAGAGAGAGAGAGAGAGAGAGAGAGAGAGAGAGAGAGAGAGAGAGAGAGAGAGAGAGAGAGAGAGAGAGAGAGAGAGAGAGAGAGAGAGAGAGAGAGAGAGAGAGAGAGAGAGAGAGAGAGAGAGAGAGAGAGAGAGAGAGAGAGAGAGAGAGAGAGAGAGAGAGAGAGAGAGAGAGAGAGAGAGAGAGAGAGAGAGAGAGAGAGAGAGAGAGAGAGAGAGAGAGAGAGAGAGAGAGAGAGAGAGAGAGAGAGAGAGAGAGAGAGAGAGAGAGAGAGAGAGAGAGAGAGAGAGAGAGAGAGAGAGAGAGAGAGAGAGAGAGAGAGAGAGAGAGAGAGAGAGAGAGAGAGAGAGAGAGAGAGAGAGAGAGAGAGAGAGAGAGAGAGAGAGAGAGAGAGAGAGAGAGAGAGAGAGAGAGAGAGAGAGAGAGAGAGAGAGAGAGAGAGAGAGAGAGAGAGAGAGAGAGAGAGAGAGAGAGAGAGAGAGAGAGAGAGAGAGAGAGAGAGAGAGAGAGAGAGAGAGAGAGAGAGAGAGAGAGAGAGAGAGA